ATTTTTTGAAGAAAATTAAAAACAAAATGACGAATAGGTGCTTAGTTTTGTGTTTATTCAACACTTTAAAAGTAGATTTTAAGTTCAATAAATTATTTGTTGTTATTTGGTTAGTTATTTGTTTTGAAGGTTTCGATGACTAATTGGAAAAATTTCTAACAAATAATGTTTTAGAAATATTCAACGTAAGTCTTCCAGAAAAATATAAATTTAGGGTCTAGAATACTAATTAGAAGACTTTCATATAAGTCTTCTATTACAAGACTTATTGGAAGACTTACATGAAAGTCTTCTGTATAGAAAATATTTAAACTAATTAGAATTTTTGTCTTCCGATATAACGAAATTTACACATTTTTTTCTTCCTCTCAAATGGAGGAAACAAAAATGTAATGTTTCTCGCTCTTAAACTCTTTAACCTCTCTTTAAACTATTTGAACTTGATAACACCAAATCTTATATCGAATTTTCGTTTGTTTGTTAAGTGTTTCTTAATAATTTATTTTGTTTTTGCAGGTTTTTCATTATTGGTTTTCATATTTCACTCATTTAAAGGTAGATGTATAAATTTTGGATATGTATTTTTGTGTGTTTTATATGATAGATTCTAATAAGTTGTAGATTCAACATTTTTTTTGAACAACTACTTCATTAGATTAAAAGAAAACGTTACACATTGACAAACTAGAAGCACAAGCACGCAGAGTCCCTTTAGCAAGGGCATCAGCTGCTGAGTTGTTTTTGTGAGGAATGTAAATAAAAGATATCACAGAGAACTCTAAAGACAAGTTAAGAATATCATGAATGATTCCAAACAGCTCTTTGAGAAGTTTCTTGTCGTTGATGGCTCTGACTAGTGTCTGAGCGTCCGATTTCACTGTCAAGATGGAGTAGCCGTTTTGATGGGCTTTTTGCATAGCTTCACGAATGGCAAGACCCTTCGCTATGAGGGAGAAGACACAAAGTACTCCAGTTTGCTGTCCTCCGAGATAATGTTGTCTAAGGCATCTGTGAAGATCTAACCGATTCCCGCCTTGTTATCTTTCCATGCCGCATCCGTATACACCAGGGTTCCAAAGCTGTTGCTCCTCTTGATCTGAGGAGCTGTTCTTGCTGTCGATGGGGAGCTCTTTATTGGTTGTTTTTGTACTTGCAACTGAGCTTCCTGCCATTCTTGTGCCAGTTTTACTGCTTTTGACAATGTTTTATCTGCTGTAACCACTCTGTTTTTGAAGATTAGCTGATTTATTGATGTCCAAATTGTCCAGAAAATCCAAATAAACATAGGCCCCGAAAAGAGACATGTTGGTGGGAGGTTCGTGAGATATTTAGCTTCAGATAGAGCCTTTTAAAAGTTTGGTGCAGTGGTGATAAGTTCTAAGTGTAGAAGTGGATCCATCTCCCATATGCGTTTCGCAAACCGGCAGTGAAGGAATAGATGTGTTGCTGTTTCAAGAAGTCCAACAATGAACACACATGGAGTTACTCATGATGCTTCTTTTATCTAAATTCTCACCCTGAGGCAGAGCTCCTTTAACAATTTTCTAGAGGAAAACTCGAATTATGGTGAGAAGAGTCCTCTCCAAATACCATTGTTCCAGTTGCAAGGTTGCTGGGGAGGGAGAGTAGACGGCAGAGTCTCCTTCATTGATAAGCATGTGTAGTAACCCATTTTTGTACTGAATTCACCATTTTATTTATTATTTAAGCATAAAAATTATTTTTGAAATATTTTTCTGTTTTGATGTCATTTGAGTGTTTTGGATATGTAGGTTTTTTCAGATCTAACTCAGACATTGGAAGACTTCTTAGAAGATCAAAATGGATGAGTATGCCACCTCAGATCTTGAATAAAAAGAAAAGGTCAAAAATTGTATAATAAGTCTCCTCGGACCTTGAAAAAAAATGTTAACATGGTAAATTATGTCTCCTCGAACATTGATAAAAATGATCAATATGATAGTCTATGTATCTTCAGATCATGTGGAAGGCTAAGCCTCTAATTTTATTTATTTTCTTTGAATTTCTACAGTTTATTTTAGCCTTTAATTTATGTATTTAATATTCGTCTTTATTATGTTTATTTTATATGTTACGAGTATGGTTATCATATCAAATTTGGAAAAGTTCAAAACAAATGCCCTTGATATTGCAATAAATAATTATATGACTTGGATAGTGGGTGTAAAGATGCACTTCAGAGAAAACGAGCTTTTGGAAAACATCGGTATATTGAAAAACTATACTGGATGAGAAAAAAATAAAGTCATGATATTTTTACACCATTCTAATGATGATTTAAGATGACGTGTATCATAAGAAAATATTTAAAAGATCTTTGAGTAATTAAATCCTTGAAATAAAGGATTCACCAAATAGTTGGAGTTGATGTAAATCCTCTGAGAAAACTAAAAAAAAAAGTGGAACACATGATACTAAACCATCAAGTATGTCCTACTTGAAAATGACGAGGGTGTAGGTGTAATTGAAACCGCTATTATGGTCGTGGAAGAGGATTTCCACGCAAATGAAAGTGGTCGGGTGATAAAAGGCAAACACAAAAAAAGTTTGCTATTGATACGGATGGGTACATATTTATCGTACGCCAAAATATTTAGCCAATCTATATTGAGAATCATAAAGAAAAAGAGAAAAGAAATGAAATAAACTTCATTTCTTATGAGCACGGACCATCTTTTCAGGGCTTGAATAGTCATCTTGATGTTTCAAATTTTCTAAGAATGAGAATGATTTTCCTCAATAAGATTTTGAGATTCATGATGAGATTGATATATATGGCAGATATTGAGTCATCATACATGCCTATTAAGGTAACAAATATATCTCGTTTCTCAAAATAAATAAGTATAGTATCTAGTAATGCAAGAATTATTATTGGCTATAGAAGAGCTTATGATGAAAAGACATGCATAAGAAAAAGATGGCAAAAATAAAAATGGTGGGTAAACCTGAAGTTATCGATATATAGTCATCTCCAATAACGTTATCTACATTGTTGTGAAATGTTGAAAAATCAGAAGTTCTTCACATATAGCATATTTTAAAGAAAATAAAGGAAACCATCATAAATCATCAAACAAGTTAATTGGATGTGATTGTTTTTAAAAAGACCCCAAAATATCTCACTCTAAAGGATTTGAAACATAATTCATCCCAAAATGAAAAAACTGAATATGTTATTGGCTCTAGAGTGGGATTCAATGCGAGATTTTAGACATGGAATGTCATCATCTCGAGGGGAAAAATTAAAGAATCCTAGTGAGTGGAACATTAAGGAAATTATGTTCGCACTTGAAAAACAAGAACTTGATAAAGTAAATTCAAGTAAGATGATCTCCATGATCGGATATGAATGCAGTTTTGCATGTAATATATATGTATATAATCCAAAATAGATAAAGTATATGGAATAATTAAAGATATGCTCGCAAGGTTGCTAGAAGCATAAAAGCAGCTAAAGAAATTAGATATGAAAAATGGATTACATAAAAATTATGTAGGATAATCCATTTAAAAAATGACTGCTAAACTTTTTGATGAAATAATGAAACCTCATATGTGAGCTGAAAAATGCTCCAATAATAAAATGTGACCTAATAGGATGATATATGAGTCTATGGCACGCTAGAGACGTGATAGACCACTTTGGTTCCAAAGAATCCTCGAAAATGAGCAAATATATAAATAGAAGATTAATCTCATGATGAGACCAGACCGTTGATTTCGTTAATGTGTAATCATGTACCTGAGTAAATCATCGATGACGATAAATAGATCTTGATTAACCATATCAGTATGAGTGAAAACATGGAACTAAGAGAAAATAGATTGCCGGTAACAAATAAGAAAGCGCGCTATATAAATGAGGATTATGAATCTATCTTTGTGTATGAGTGTAGAAAGAAATGATTGGCCAAAAATGAAATGAGGCAATCAAGCCGATATAAATCTTGTTAGACAACAAGAAATTTTGAATCAGAAGTCCAAGCATCTAAAAGATATATATTTCTCCAGAGAATAAAATGAAAGATGGGCTTGAGATATGAAAAACGGCTTGTTTCAAGGTAACTGGAGAAACATTATAATAGATGCAGTATATTGATATGTCTAGCAGAACATAAACGACTTGAGTTTGATCGTGATATTTAGTAGTCCCTGGAGAATCATTGGTGTTCTCAGGAACGATAAAAATCTAGAAGAGTTAGAACAAGCCATATATAAGCTATCTGGAACTGGTAAATGGTGATATGTTTATGGCACGGTTTGCCGATTGTCATTCTAATGAGGAAGAATTTCCAGCGTTAGGGGGAGGAATTAGATAAATTTCTAAAGAGGTTACATGGTGTACACAATCGTTGTTACACCTTGATTCCCTTCTGAATCAAAGAGAGCTGGAAGTTCATAAAATGGTGCATTTGTATAATTTGGAAAACCAGTTACCAAATGCGTTCACAGATACGAGAAGGGTGGTGAAATCATAAATACCCGCTGAAAATATTCCATCATGTAGATACAATGAATGAACCTAGGGTTCAGTTAAAGAGGGGGATACCGGCGGGTTTTAAAGATAAAAGTCTCCGAAAGAAAAATAAATTAGTTGAGCAAAATGAAAAGGTTCTAGATGAACCTGATACTAAGAAATGTCTAAAAGAAGACAGAAATGAAAAGGTTTTAGAAGAGTCTGATGATCTACACATAAATATTGATTAAGAGTCGGATGATTTACACATAAATATTGATTAAGAGCCGGATGATCTACACATAAATATTTTGGGATGATTTGGAGGCTAGATGATCCATCCATACATATAATATAAGTATTTAAAATTTGGGAGCCAAAGGTCGGCTGTTCACAGGACCGGCCCTGGTAGAAATGTAGTAGAGGATTTAGAAAGTTAAAATGAGTTTGGTAGGAAGGTCAACTATAGAGAACATGTGATATTTTTGGATTTGTTCTATCTCATTTGGTTTCTCAGCTGATGGTTTTTCGACTGTTCAATGTGATTCACCATTGATGGATATAATTAAATATGAAACTTAATTTTTGCAGGGATGGAATTGTGACTTGGTTGAGGAAAAAGGCCAGTCCTAGCATTCACAACATCACTACAGTTGAGGAGGCTGAGCGTGTTTTATCTGATGAACCTAAAGTTGTTCTTGCTTTTCTCAACTCCTAAGTGGTACACATAAACCTTCAGAATCCAATGTGTTTTATCTGCTTTTTGTCTAGCACATATTAGTTTGTGTGCCTTGAAGTTTTAGGATGCAGCATTAACGAGCGTGAATCCTATTCTGACACCATTTTCAATTTCCTCAGGGATCAGATAGCGAGGAGCTTGCAGCTGCATCCAGACTTGAAGACGATCTCAGTTTCTACCAAACTACAAGCTCTGATATTGCAAAGCTATTTGAAATAGAAACCCAAGTCAAGCGTCCTGCCTTAGTTTTACTGAAAAAGGAGGAAGAGAAACTTGCCCGTTTTGGTAAAATACTCGCCAAATCTCAAAATATAATTACCTCTTGTTCTTCTCTGCTTATATTTACTTCTTGTTCTGTCTCTCACTCACTGTCCTACTTTTTTGACAGATGGAAACTTCACTAAGGCGGCTATAACAGAGTTTGTGTCAGCCAACAAGGTTCCGTTGGTCATCAACTTCACCAGGGAAGGCGCATCAATGATCTTCGAAAACTCAGTGAAAAACCAAGTAAAGACCATTCTGTCGTTTTGAAAATTCCCCCCAATGTTCATTACTACAAGCTAACGAGAGTGACACTTTTATTTCTTAAACCTTGACAGCTCATTCTTTTCGCTACGACAAATGAATCAGAGAAACACCTTCCCACTCTGAGGGAGGTGGCAAAGTCCTTCAAGAGAAAGGTACTTTTCTTGGCACCCTTTATTTTTCTTGGCTCGCCTTAGAGGAGAGAAAACCGCCTAGAGAAGGTGGATGGATGATGACTATAGTTACTTTTCTATGCTCTCTCGGCAGTTTGTCTTTGTATATGTGCAAATGGACAATGAAGATTACGAAGAAGCAGTTTCTGGATTCTTTGGTGTTACCGGTAATGCCCCCAAGGTACTAGACTATTTAGTTGATGAGAGATTATATCTACGCATCAGTTTTTTTTGTTTGTTAACAAACCAAGTTTTGCATCTGTGTATGCAGCAGGTTCTTTGTATACACTGGAAATGAAAATATGAGGAAGTTCATTCTTGACGGTGAACTGACCGTAAACAACATCAAGGCTAGCTCTACTTCTATTTTTCTGTGAAGTTCTATCGTTTCTTTATGTGGTGAATTATCTTAAAACGACTTCTTTTTCCTGTATAACAGACACTTGCGGAAGATTTCTTAGCAGACAAACTAAGCCATTTTACAAGTCAGATCCAGTACCTGAGAACGTAAGCCTTACCACATCAGTGACATGCCACATAATACTGATTTCTCACACTAAGCTTATATAATCAAACGCAGAATGACGGTGATGTTAAGATCATTGTGGGAAACAACTTTGATGAGATTGTTCTTGACGAGTCAAAGGATGTTCTTCTCGAGGTAATAATCACATTGTAACGTTATGAGTCTTGTTTACACATCCTAATGCGTGAGTTTTTTTTTTTATCATAGATATATGCTCCTTGGTGTGGCTACTGCCAATCGTTTGAGCCTATTTACAACAAGCTTGGAAAGTATCTGAAGGGCATTGACTCGTTAGTTGTAGCTAAGATGGATGGTACCACCAATGAGCATCCTAGAGCAAAGGTAACTAATTAAAATCCATATTTTGAATTTCTTTTTCCTTTTGTCTAAATCTCTTTATTTTCAGGCTGATGGTTTCCCAACCATCCTGTTCTTCCCTGGAGGAAACAAGAGCTTTGATCCGGTTAGCAAAATCAATAAATGAACGTTGTTCTCATAACTTGAATACTGAATATGTAATAACTCTTGTTCTGTCTTGTAAAAACAGATCACTGTGGATGTTGACCGTACAGTAGTGGAGCTCTACAAGTTCTTGAAGAAGCACGCATCAACTCCATTTAAACTTGCTAAACCGGCAACACCTGAACCGGTCATTACCACCAAGAAGGCGGATGAAAAGAATGAGGGTGATAATGCCAAGGATGAGTTGTGATGATACTTACAGAATGTGTAACAGACATGATAGAAAATGCATTGTTCCTTTTTTAGTGTTTGTGTTTTGTTCTATTCTATGAAATGAAGAATTTTGGTTTCTTCTTTAAGTCCAGATTTGTTTGATGAACGGGAGGTGTTTGGCTCTCGAGTGCAATAACCTAGATGATTTTGACCCAAAAAAAAAAAAAAACCTAAATGATAATACATGACTTCATATAGATGAAAATGCATGCTTAAGAAAAACGTTAAATCATTTTATTGTGAATTACTGTTAGCAACTTTAAATCCTTTTGGAGCAATCAAGGATTTTTTTACAAACTCTAAAATTGATCCAAACAAAATCATTTCATTACACTATCGAGAAAACTTTTTTATTTATATTTAAGGTGAATTTCATTAAAATTGGAAAAGATTTATCATAGATTTAACAAGTTTATAACAAAACTTTTCATAAGTTTTTTGGGGTCGAACTTCCGATTAAAATGTGTCATAAGTTATAGAGTAATTGCACTCTATAACCATAAAAAAAAATTAGCTATTTGGTTATCACCTTTTGATATTTAGGTAAGTGGTTATATATGAAATGAGAATAGAAACTAGTCTTGAAGTTACTATCTATTTGCCTATGTTTATAAAAACTACATATAGTAAAACCTTTATAAATTAATAATTTTGAAAATTTTAAATTTTATTAATTTATAGAGATATTAGTTTACAAAAGTTTCCTTATTTAGATTTTTTTTTCTATTTTTCTATTTTTATTTATAAAATAAAAAATGACTTTAGCATATATATCATTTAAATTTTATAAATTTTTATTTTCATATTGTTCTATTATCTTATTTGGTGTATATTTTTATGTTTCATAGAATTTTATGTGGTTTTTGATATAATTTAACTAAATATTATCAAAATATATTAGTATTTTTATTGTAAATATAAAAAAATAATATAATGTTAGATTGTACTTATATAAAATTATATATATATGTAGATTATTACTTTATGATTTTAATGGGACTATATATTTACATGGAAGTTTTCAAAATATTATTATCTTATTATTTTATCGATTTGTGTCAATATTTTACATCGACCCAAGTTGGGACCGGTAAAATTTATTAATTTATAGAGATTATTAATTTATCGAGTATTAATTTTTAGAGGTTCTACCGTACAATATAGCCGTAGGAATGTCATATAGGTAAGTCAAACCAAGTCAGAAACTTATCAAACTTATCAATGCAAGGTTTAATATGCAGTGGCTAGGGTTTTGCAAGTGGGATCCATCGACTTTGGCGTCTGTGGCCACGGGACCTCTCCAACGGTGTCTGTATCTTGACGACAATAGTTGACGGAGCTACGATCTGGTTTGGATACCCAGATCTGTAGAGTTACGATTTTCGCCGGGACTTCCGCTGATGTTCATCAGAGTATGAAGCTCAGTTTCCTCCGATTTTTTCACCCCCGTTAATCCTCTTTAACTTATTTGTTTTTGCTTTGTTGTTGTATTCTCGAGTCTTTGTAACCTGGAGCCACTGTTTCCGGCCGGTTAACCAGAACAGTATCACTTTCACTCTTTTTTTACGGGCTAATTTAATTAATATAAATATAAAAAAATAGATTTGATAATTTGTGGAGACGAACCAACAGGCAACAACACAGCACATAATGATGAGAAAATTTACTCTAATATCCAGAGGAGAAATAAAAAATATCTCGTCGAAGATGAGTGAAGGAGATTTAGGGATAATAATTTTTATAGATAAAATTTTGCAGTTCTACAGGTGTTAAAATAGCATATGGTAGAATTTCATAGGTTAATTATTACGTCTCTATAAGCTATATTTCAGAAGGTGATAGGTCTAACTACATGTCTAGCAGTAGAGTTAGTCTTGGGATATCAAACTCTTAACAGTGTTGTATCCATTTGTCTAATAGTATATTTTTTTCTATGGTTATTCACCTAAATAACTCTAAGTTATATTAGTAACATTAGGTTAATATCTATTTCTTGACAATATGACATCTAATAGTGAATGTTTTTTTTTTGAGAGAGCTTGCTAATAGGGAATGTTGTTAGTGAAAAGACACCAACGTAGCTAACAATGGCTTATAACCACGTTTAGTTTTTAATATTTATGTGATTTGTATCTTTGTGAATTTTGAAGAACATTAGTAGTGATGGCCATAGGTCACACTGCATTCTGTATACCTTTTTTTTGTTTTTTTTTTTTGCATTCTGTATACTTGGCCATCTACAGTTACCTATTTTTCCATCAAATACTGTTGTAATTTATGTGAAACAGATTAACAGAACTGATTATACCAATTACCAAAATGTGGCATAGCAAATAAATACTTTTAAATCTCATATTCAAAAGAAAAAAGAATGATTAGCTAACACGATACAACTTTGACTTGTCGAATTTTACATCACCATATAACAAATAATTGAAAATTCATAAAATATTTTCCAAAGTCCCTCCCCACACGTTTCTGATGTATTCTTTTTGACAAAAAAAAAATACTAAACATTTCTTTTCCCTAAAGGTCAATATATATAATAATTATTTTTCTTTTTATTAGCATTTTATTGCATTTCATATATGAGAGAAGGAAAAAAGAGGCATGAATATTAACGTATTAAGCGTTGGATTTGGAGCGTTACATTTATGTAAAAAACAAGAAAGACAGAGAGGCAAGAGTAAGATTAGGTGATACTTGCAAGTACCATTCTTTTCCAACTATAAACATTCTTTTCCTTTTTTTTCCACTCCATAATTTCATATTTTCATTGGTAAACATAAGCAATAAGTTAAAAAAACAAAAACCATTGATTATTTCATTTTAAAAGTCTTATATAAAAATAATTAGCATATATAGTTAAATTAACATTAACCCAAGTTAGTATAGTTAGACTAGTCAGGATTTTTTTCATATCAAATATTGAAATTTAGAATTAAATCTAACATATTTGCTAACATATCAGCATTTAGTGGAAATAAACAGTAATTACTCATTATTTAAAGCATATAAATAAAATCTCTATAAAAGTGAATGCAACTTCAAGTCTCTTTAATGACAAAATTGTAACACTTATCTGTGTTAAATTGAGAATATAAAATTCAATTATAAATATTTGTGGCTTGTTCCTGCATTTTTTTTATTAATCAGCGTTTTATCTGTCCTTCTCCTTTCTCTTCAATCTGGGTTTGGTGGGAGAGGTTTTAAGTAAAGCGTGCGATACAAAAACACAGACATCCTCTGTAACTCCTGTCTTCTTGCTCTCTTCTTCTTCTTCTTCATCATCATTTCTCTGCAGAAAAGTAAAAGATTCAACCTTTTAAGATTTATTCAGATATATTCTTTTTCTTTTCTCCGCAAAAAGACGAGCTCGTGTTGAATATTTGAAGATTCCGCGCAAAAGAAAGAGAAAGACTAAACCTTTTACTTGGTTTGACCAAACACAACTGGTTTGGTCTGAATCTCTTATATGGTAGACAAAAAAAATAATTCGGATTTGTTTTGTTTTGTTGTTGTCTTAATTGAGTCAACTACTGAATTTGATTCTCTCAATCATCATGCAAAGAGTACGCAATAAACCCAGCAGAGGAGGAGCCACGACGGCTTCGGTTAAACATTTAATCAAACAGAGAGGCGGAGGAAGTGGCGGCGGAGACACGGCGGCTGATGATAACAGCCTCTTGACAGACACGCAAGAACCGAGCATCGATACGGACAAACTCAGCTACGAGATTTTCTCCATGCTCGAGAGCAAGTTTCTTTTCGGATCATCCGAACCCGAACCCGTGAACCCGCCGGCGGTTACCGGGTCGGTAAAGAGCCAGAGAGGTAAAGTCTGTATCTTGAGCATTGACGGAGGAGGGATGAGAGGAATTCTACCCGGGAAGGCGTTGGCTTATCTAGAACACGCTTTGAAATCGAAGTCGGGCGACCCGAATGCCCGCATCGCCGATTACTTCGACGTCGCCGCCGGGTCGGGTTTAGGCGGAATTTATACGGCGATGTTATTCGGGTCGAGAGATGGTAACCGTCCGATATTCAAGGCAGAGGACACGTGGCAGTTCCTAACGAAAAACGCAAAGGGTCTTTACGGGTCGTCTTCGTTCTTGAAACGGGTCATGAGAACAGGGTCGTCGGGCAGTTCCGGTACGAGTAAGTTAAAGAAAGTGATGAAAGAGTCTTTCTCGGAGTTAACTTTAAAGGACACGCTCAAACCGGTGCTTATACCTTGCTACGACCTTAAAAGCACAGCTCCGTTTCTGTTCTCACGCGCCGACGCGCTTGAGACGGACGGGTATGATTTTCGTCTCTGGGAGGTTTGTAGAGCGACGTCGGCTGAGCCAGGGGTGTTTGACCCGGTGGAGATGAAGTCGGTAGATGGAAAGACCAAGTGTGTGGCGATCGGTGGAGGGTTAGCTATGAGTAATCCAACGGCTGCTGCGATCACGCACGTGTTGCATAATAAGCAGGAGTTTCCGTTCGTGCGTGGAGTTGAGGATCTGCTTGTGTTGTCTCTTGGTATGGGACAGTTGCTTGATGTTAGCTTTGAGTATGATCGGATTATCAAGTGGACGGCTAAGCATTGGGCTCGACCTGCCGCTCTTATTTCGAATGACGGTGCTGCCGACACGGTGGACCAAGCTGTGGCGATGGCGTTTGGTCACTGCCGCAGCAGTAACTATGTTCGGATTCAGGTATGAAAGATATGCTCAATGGGTTGGGTACACAGTGTTCTAAAAATTGGTCTAGATGCAAGTCTGTCGTTTGTCAAAACGATTTTTAAAATGTCGGTCTAAGCGGCTTCAGCTTCTACACGCCCTCGCTTAGCTTTTTATTGAACATTGCTCATATGTGTGATCCAGTTGACTTGTCTAGAATGAAATCATAAATGTTTGAAAATGTACTTGTAGATTCTTCACAAGCGATCCATGAGTGTTTTTATTAGGTGTAATGTAGGGTTATGTAGTGGCTAAGTAATGGGTATTGTTGCAGGCGAATGGATCAAGTTTAGGACCTTGCAAGCCAAACATAGACACAGACCCGAGTGGGAGCAATGTGAAAATGCTGGTTGGAGTAGCGGAGGAGATGCTAAAGCAAAAGAATGTAGAATCGATTTTGTTTGGAGGTAAAAGAATTAATGAACATAGCAATTTCGAGAAGCTTGACTGGTTAGCTGGGGAACTAGTTCTTGAGCATCAAAGAAGAAGCTGTAGAATTGCTCCAACCGTAGCGTTCAAGCAAACCGCTCATAGGGCTGAGCAGAGGACAAGGGGCAAGGATATTGGTGTGACCGCAAGAGAGCGATGAACAAGAAGAGCTTGTTGTTTTCTTTTGGTTTATTTAAATATTTAGGAGAAGGTTTATATTTCTTTCTTTCTCAGGTTATGATTTGTTGTATAGATTTGAGTTTGTGTTTGAGTTGTGAGACATTAGGAGAAAAGGGGAAGCATCTTGTCGTATAAAGGACTTCCGCTCCTTAATTCAAGCTGCACAAAAAAAGAAAAGAAAAACAACATGATTTTATGTATTTATGTCTGTTTTTGTTTTCATCATGATTTCTTGTTTGACATTTCTACTATCTTGGATAAGTTATTAGCCAGTTCTATCTAAGTAAGTCACTATCAAAATGAATGAAATTATTATAAGAAACAAAGAGAAATTTTGAAAATGAATATGAATTTTCTATGAATAAATTCAAGAATGATAATGCATATTAATAATTTATACAAACAAATATATAAAATTGAAAAATATATAAAATATGTTAGAATTATTAAAAATAATTTACTGAACAAAAAAATTAACAATAATTTAAATGATTTACTTACCATAATATATGTTCATTTTTGTTTTGGATTTTTTGAAGAAAAAATGTTTTATGTTTTCTACAAGAATCAATTTGAAGGAATGAAAAGAGATAAACATGTGAATACTTTTTTTAAACGGTGTGAATATTGAAAACATCGTATTTCCTTTCTGCTTTTCTTTTGAATAGGTGACCAGTTAAAATCCAAGTAATTCTAAAAATTGTATATTTATATTTACTTTGTTTCTAAGCTTTAACATTCAGAATGTTGTACTGAAATAACAAAAACCATGGAGTGAAATGACAGAATAGTTAGATAGAATAATGCAATTTAACTATAATAATATTTTTTGTATGTACTGAATGGTCGAATTAATCGATTAAAAACGTAATATCACACTTTTTCCACTATACTACTATTTAGGGAATTGCTAATCAGACTCTCTAATCATTTAGGTTGTGGAAGTCATCACATAAACACTCTTGGAGCTGGAGACACTACACTATTAATGACAATAAACATGACAAAAACTAAGGTTATGAATGGTAACATGCTGAGTGCGGATTTCATAGCGGTTTTGGTAAAACCGCAATTGTTACACCATTCACAATATTCATTAAAGAGATGTGCGGTTTTGTAAAACCAAAACGGAAAACCGCAAATGTACCGCAACTGTATAATTTGTTCAGTATATATAAATAACGCACTTCAAATTGGTAACGCATGTAGTAGGTAGTGTTTTTACTGAATAACGCACTAACAATAATTTCCTTCATTCTTTATTCTGAATAAAATATATTAGAAATACATATGCTGTCTTTATCTTAACATACTTATTTACAATTCAAAAATAATAACAATACATATTGTATTTGCGTCTTCAAATTTAATAACTGTTTTTATTTGTAAGTTTATATAATGTATATAGATTAAACTAAGAACAATCACAGTATTTTACCACGCCATCACATACTATAAAATATAACTACTTGAATATATTTACGTGTTACATATTACATGTAGTTTTTTTTTTTTTCAAAAAAACTACATGTAATATGTAACACGTAAATATATTCAAGTAGTGGAACCATATTTTTTGTAATGGAACCATATTAAAACTAACCCATTACATTTATATTCTTATTTAAATCAGTTCAATATTTCAAATTAAAAAAAAAAATCTCGGCATTTAAAATATATACTATACAGTATTATATAGAGACATAATAAGTGACCGTATTGTTTATTTTATCAAAACCACGTTTATTCAATCTAAGATATTTTTAAAATGTATTTAAATGTTAATATATTATTTAGTATTATTTTAATACATTAAATGTTTTTTTATTATCATTATTTTATTTTTAAATAATTACCCAATACCGCAAATATGTATTATCACCAATCAAACAATTTCTACATCACTTTTTATTGAAAACCGCAGTTGTACCGTACCGCATTATAATTCCGCATGAACCGCAGTTGTACCGTCCCGCATTTTAATTCCGTACCGTTTTTGTTACTAATTCCGCCGTCACCATTCGGAGCCTAAGGGTCACGACTTTGTACTATTAATACTTCGATAGTAGCTTCCACTGTTAAAGTTTGTCGGCTTCTCTCTCTCAGTAGTGAAATTTCAAATATAAAAGATCACTACTTAAAACTTCAAATTTGAAATTTCATTTTTATTTGCAATTAGGTCTTCATAATTATACATTATATTTATAATTTTTATATATTTTATTGTTTATTATTTTAATCCTTAAAAATTCCTATCTCATAAATATGTGAACTTTACACATATTTTTTTCCTTAAAACAACAAGATAATTTAAAACAGTTAAAATTAGAACCAGACAACAATAATATTACAAGATTTAATGTGGTAATTTATATATTGTTTAATACTTAATTATATATTTCAATTAATAATTTTATATTTTAGTGATTTTATTATTTAATATTGATGTAATATTTTTATATATGTGCTAGTTATTTATAAAAGTTTTATAAATTTGAACTAGTTATGATAAATATAAGGATCATAGTATCAAATACAAATAGTTTTAAAGTTGAGTTTGAAGTTTTGTTTTTAAAGTATAACATTTATAAACTTTATATATAAAGTTTTGTAAATTTTAAAATATAGTGTTTTTTGGAGATGCTAGAATGTCTTAAAGCTACGTGTAATCTCGATGGTTAATTGATGCAATTTCATTCCATTGTACAGAACGAATGGAGAGTGCTCGTTATGTAATGTGATCACATCATTGGAGAGATTCAAAACTCATTACCTTAATTTTTTTAAAAAATCATTACTATAAATTCCAAAAAGAAAACAAATGTTGTTCTCTGGCTCTTGCGCGTGTGCGTGGTTCGAGAATGTCATATATCTGTGAGTAGCCCCACGTCTTTGATTGTCGGTTCGGTCTCATCCACCGACACTCGATACAGTTTTTTCATTTGTTTACAACTATACAACTTTTTTGATATATTGTAAATTGAATATCTTTTCACCTATCAATTATGCGTCGGTCCAAATACCAAGTAGCAAATTTTATCTTTAGTTTAGTTGCTTCTTCACGTGATATAATTTTCATTGGGACAATTATTCAATGGTTTGTCTAGACTCTCAACAAGAGAGTCAGAGACAAAGAGTTAAAAAAAAAAAAAAGTTTAACAAATCATTTGAAAGTTTATTCACCATCATAAGATATGAAGGATTCAAAAGAAAGTTCCTCACTAAAGAAATCATTTACAGATTCAATCTGTACATAAAAAAATACAAGATTTGGAAAACAATCAAAACATCAACAATGCTGAACTTGATTTACATCAAAAACCAAGATCATCAAAGTAACTCACTAGAACTCTTGCTTGCGGGTAAAGATTCAAAAGTCTCAAACCATGCAGTCATTCGGTCACTAAACAATTTTCATTCAGAGTTGTTTATGGTGTTAACCATTTAGTTCGCTTATTCAACAAAATCCGTCTTAAGCAATTTTGGTTTAAAAATGCAGTTTAGTTTCAGTTTGTGATATAGATTGGTTCGAGCTAGGTTCAAGGTCGGGTTACTTTTTAGTTTAAGAGAAACGTAAAGAAGTATTTTCTCAAAAAAAAAAAAAAAGTAAAGAAGTCAATACAAAAATCATTAGGGTTTACTATCTTATGGGCGCAAGAATACCTAATTTTTGAAGTGTTTCGCTTTTTACATTTTTCAACATAAATTCTTCTATTGGTTTGGTTTGGTTAACAGTTTGTTAACTAAAACGTTAAGCTTGGAAATATATGTATTTGGTTGATCTGGTTGTAGCTAGAAAATGGTTTGATTTGGTTAGATGGTTAAGCGGCTTATTGCATATTTAGGTCAAATGTTTTTTTTGGTAACCAAAAATGTTTTGGCCCTTTGGTGACTTGGTCTATATTTATTTCTTTAGACATGAGGAAGATAAGTTAATTCAATCTATCATATATATACGTCCAGTTGAGTCGGTGAAATTACTTTTTGGTTAAATTCTGAAGTTTGGGTCCCTTCAATTTTAATTGCCATCGTTCATTAGGTATGCTTGACAAAGGTTTCACTTATCCAAGCATAGTGTCTAGACTCGTAGTGAAAGTCTTGTTATTTACATAAATGCCTTCATCAGACTGAGTAATATCCCCGTTTTAGACTCTGACAACGGTTTAACATATCTAGTTTGAACATACATATATGTGTTTAAGTTATAACTAGCTTTTGACTCGCGCGGGGTATATGTTCAGTGAAATAATATGTTTTTGAATGTTTTAAAAATATTCATGTTATTGATTAATATGATTGAGATTATAAATTGATGTATCTTGTTTATTTTGTTGAATGTACATTTTTAAACTATGAGTTATATTCTTCTCAAATTGTATTTTTTTTAACCTGATAAGCTAAACATAAAGTGTATAATATAACTAAATTGAGATTTAAAAAGCTTCTTAAATAAAATATAAATTAGGTTAGTTAGAACTTATTTTAAATTATTGTTTATATAGCTTTTAGAAGAAAAAAATCGCTAGTAAATATAGAACCAATTGGAAGAGTAATTAATTTGGGCCATTAGGTTATGATTTTAAAAGATGTATATCCAACCCAAAAAATAGTTAAACTGAAACTCAATCAAAATCCATAGATTTATTTTAATGTCAGTGGCATATCTTGGTAAATATTGAGAAAAACTTAGGGCTAAATATAAAATGTACTTCCCCTTTAATAGTTTAAATTGTATCAGTAAATTATATTAACTATACTTTCATGTATAGTTAAAGTTTGAATTATTAGCAACAAATAATTAATGAAGTTGAAATTTTAATCAATTTTTTATATTAAAAATAACCATGTACACTAATGATCACATACACTAACAAATTATATTTTAATAGGATATGGTATTTTAGTTTATAAGTTGTGAATGATAAATGATGTAAAAAACTAATAAAATTTTGGGTTTAAATAAATATGAAAACCACTCAA